GAATATTTTTGTGTTAATGTGAAAAGCGAAGCTTCAGTCGAAGATTGAGTTTATGAACAGAAATAAGCAGTGTTTTGAGCGTAAAACGTACAGCCAACCAGCTTCAGCGGCACATAAATAAGTGATGTTCTAGTAATTTATTTTATTTGGCTTTGGATCAACAGAAATATAATTTTCTACACACAACTTGTCCTCCACACTCAGTGTTGACCTGTCAGACCTGTCATGATTTATATTATTATTATGATGATGATGATGATTATTATCATTATTATCCACACCATCATAAGAAAGTAGAAGATAAAGGGATGAGGAGCATCCATGTCGTCCACTACACTGGCTCCTACTGTGCCGTAAAGGTGACTTTCTCTGTCATGAGGGCATCTTCCATTGAGGATGTGCACCTTAAATATTTTGCATAATTCAACATTTTTGTTTCCATAACTATTTCATGTCGCAGAGTCTTTACTATTTCTTGTAGGGATATCAAGAACCGTTACGTCTTTATGTACAAAATTAATATTATTTACTGGTTAAGAATTTTGGAAAGTTTTTGCCCTCGCATTCAAATGTTCAGGAAGAAATATTTCTTTCTCTGTTGGTCATCAGAGAAAACAGTCAAATAATCCTCTCAGTTTGACACGCCATCTGTATCTGCATCATCACATATTGGAGATGTTACAGATGAAATATCATTCGTGACCAACTCGTGTTATTCCAAGACAAACCTTCTTACAGCTTACGGAAAGGGGCGAGTGGTGACGAATGGTGAACTATTTGTCAGTGTTAAAACAGTGTCAGTTTGACACGTTAGTCTAGAAGTATAAAACAGAAAAAAACACTGTATTATCAAAATCGTAATATATTCTTCTGATAAACACGTCACTTAATCAATTGTCCCATATTAGAGTAGTGACACTACCACTGTAGCGGTCGAGCTGTTTTCGTTTCACTCTGATACTGTTGAATGACCGAAAACCGGACTCAGTTATGAAACGTCGCGGACACTGCGAGCAAAAGATTCCGAGAAAGTCACCACCGCATTGTTTTACCTTAGAGTTCTGTAATCGGGTTTATTCAATCCTTCCGTGTTCGATGATAGACCGTAGAAAATAGGACCAAGACAACGTTTTCACAAGTTGTTGTTGTTTGGAGATGATGGAACGGGAGTTACCTCCCCTGAATGGCGCGTTCTTCCATTACCGGGTTCAAACAGGTGCGTCCCTTTTGTGTCGATTCTGCCCGGGATTTTTTGGTTTTATGTATGTTTATTTTATTTTATTTTTTTTATTTTATTGCACAATTAACCTGTTTAGCCGCTCTTAAGGCCTTCGCTCCCTATCTTGAGATTCCACAAGCCATGGGGAAAGCGCTCGTCGATGTTGTGGAAAATCTTCCGTTACCGCTACGTTGTTGAAGAATCCCTTCCGAATATTTCGCGGGCCTTTTCAAACATGTTTCCTTTGCCCGTGGTTAGAAGGTTTTTTTGCAAAAATGTGAAAGTCTTGCCTGTTTTAATTTAGTATATGTGAGCACTATTATTTCAACATCTTTTTAGTTTTCTGTATTCAACTCAGTAAATATGGAACGTTTCCCCCCGCTTCGTCCCAAGTCTCACGACTGCCTCCTTCCATTCCGTGAAATATCAGGTTGTTCCTCCGAACTCTACCTTGGAGTTTCTCTTCGAGTTGCGGGGGCACGGGTGGCCCAGTCGTCTAAGGCGCCGCGATTCGCTGTGCAGAGTTGCGTCCCTTGGGTTTATCAGCACCATACCCGTGCTCGTGGGTTTCACCGAAGGGGTAAACGTCTAAGACCTGCATCACTTCGGGCTTTCCTCCCACATTAAGCTGACACGCCGCGATATAACTGGAATACTGTTAAAAGCGCGTTAAACCCAACTCACTCACTCACTCGTCGTCGAACTACGAAGTTGTTGGTGATGACAATCGAGGTAACAGATACGTACATGTAAATAAAAGTGACATAACCGGTTCCATATTCATAAGAAATCTTAAGAGGCCGTTGTATGAGTCCGACTATATCATGAGTATGTGTTTATTAATAATTGACATATTGGGATGCTACCAGGTGCTCGCGAAACGCTGAACGTAGCCTACCCCACCGAGGGCACCCGTCACAAACACATCCAGCTGTTCAAAATCTCACCCGAGTGTCTTTTGATATCAAATATAGCAACACGAGTCGGTAAAACTCCGAGGCTTCACACTTATATCGACGAGTGTTGATATACTTTGTATTAAAAGACACGAGGATGAGATTCTATTCATCATCTAAAATTATTGTTCCAACCTTTTCAGTTTGCAAACACTAATAAGCAGTGTCTTGAGTGTAAAACGTACAGCGAACCATCTGGCAGACAGATTAGTGATGTCATTTGATTGTGACGTCATGGTAACCGATACCATTTTTATAGAAAACATTTGTACGAAACGAGGGTACTTTCTGTGGTAACTCGGGCTTTCGCTCGGTCAGATACCATACTTTTTTATTAGAAAATCCACTCGTTTTGTAAAGAATGGTATCTGGCGAGACTGAGTGCAGTAGTCTCAATATCTCAAGTTGAAGCCAAATAAACAAAAATAATACGACATTCACCACCGATATATTTCACTTGCGCGATAAAATTGTTGGAATTGAAATGTATACTAACGGAAAAAGTAACTTTGAATAATATAAAAGTTCAAAAATATATTTCTTCTGAAATTAAATAATGCATATTTCAATACATATTCATGAAGACATCTCCTCGACGTTAACTTTAAGACCGTGAGTCACAATTTGTGTACTGCGCACAATTTGGATGTTTGCGTGTTTGTTGGGAGCATAATACGCACCACACAATGATTGTTTAACTATCAGTTACTCATAAAACACCTTTGTTTAACCGTAGATAATGCTTACGCAATGCTACGGTCTTCTGAAACTCAACGTCTATACGCGCCGTTGGTATGCTGCAAACAGGAATGGCGCATAACGAAGTTTTATGGTCACCGAGACGTAGTATCTCATCTTGTTGGAGACGTTATCTTCTGCAGGGCAACACTCCTGTCACGTTAACAAGACAACCATATTCGGTTGGTGCATCTACTTAATCGATACCAAACTGGCACCTTAACAGCTCGGACAATTCTCTGGGTTGAGACCACTTAGTGACCTAACCGTACTTGTCCGTGCAAGGAACACAACATCCGACGCCCAGCGATACGCACAATTATTGCTTTCACGTCACCGTCAGACACGCCCAGTTCGGTGCTGACAACGTCTGAGGTTCAGACGAGAAGTCTGGTACAGTATACTGGTTTCATCTGGTTCCATCTGGACAGCTCGTGCAAGGGTCTACGGGCGTCCAGGAGAACGTTTTAGCGACGCTTACGTTACTCAACGTCGTCAGTTTGCGGATGAAAGTGTAATGGTTTGGCGTGGCATCAAAACTCTTGGGAGAAGACAACTCATTATTGTTAATGGCAACTTGAGTGGCGCACGCATTGGACAACATCGTTCGAGATCATGTTCTACTCTCTGTGCAAATGCGATCGCCTCCGTGGTCTAGTGGTAGAGCGTCCGTCCGGGGTTCGACCCCTCCCCCCCCCCCCCCCCCCCCGGCCGGTGTCATACCAAAACACGTTAAAAGATGGTACTTGTTGTTACCCTGTCTGGCGTTCGGCATTAAGGGGCTTAAACAAGGACTGGTCGGCTCGGAGTCAGTATATGGGGCATGGTACCGGGGCATGGTATCTCAGTGAGCTAGCACTATAAATCGGCATCAGTCCGGACTAGTACAAGCAGCCACACACACACACACACACACACGTACATGCACGTCGCTATATAGGTGCAACAATCTTGGACGCGACATTAAACCCAATTTCACCTCACCTCACCTTTGTGCAAATGCAACGGGACGTAATATCACGTTGCAAGAGGATAAAGCCCGCCAACACGTTGCACGTGTTGTAACAGACTTTCAAAGGCAGCACAACATTGCAGGACTGAGCCATGTCCGACTGTTCCCCAGACCTCTCCCCTATAGAACATATGTCTGGGATGAGATGGAACGACGCCCACGTCAAGACAGGAATCAGCGGGTTGCTGTTGCCAATCATCTGGTGTGTTGAATAATACGTCGCTGCATCGCCTGTGTCAACGCAAGTGGTGGTCACACCAGACACTGACAGTGTTAGTTGAGTTGTAACAGCGCTCTTGTTTTAGGGCGTGTTGCACTGTATCGTGGTAACCAGATATGGGTTTTGTCAATGTATTTGTAATGATAAAACATTGATCAGACGAAAGACCAAATATGCTATTTTCAATAACATAACATTTACACCACCTTATATAAAGCACAGCTACTTTTTTCCTTTGTTATACATGATGGTACAGCGGTATTAAGTTGATGCTCGTTTTTTTATTTAAGTATATGATAGTCTCTTATCACCCCTGCTTCTTGGAAAATAAGGATCGAATTGGCACAATGTGTTACTTAGCTGTTTGTCATCGACCCCCCATGGTGTTTATGCCATCAGACACTGCTCCACCTGACATAGCCTCGACTATTTCCAGGCCTCCATAATCAAGCTGTAATTTCGCTCAGCTGATTCCCTAAAACTACATAGTGGGCGTTCGCGCTGCGCTCTTAACCCACGTGACACTTAACAGACCTAACGCTTCTGTTGACGTTTACACTCAAACCCCATATCCTTTATCGAAACCTTGGTCTTTATTTATCAAACGGTAAACATCACCTCCTTTTGTATCCACTAATAATCGAACTGAAAACGTTGCATAAGCTGTGTCAGGACAGACTGGTCACGACGCTGTTGCATAGATATATCTCCAGTATGGTTGTTTTAGGGGCTTTAGTGGTTTTGCTAATTGTTAGAACTGGAATTGGTCTCAAATTTTCGAATTTTCGTGAAACGGAACTATTTGAAGAAATTTTAGATCTCGGTCACCAAAAGACAATAGACGGTGAAACTTTGATGTCATGTGCGCGAGAATGTGGAAGTGAATCCGAATGTCGGCGTTTCAAGTTTTGCGAAACCGATGCTACATCTGGACAGTGCAAGTTGTATGAGGATGGCAAGGACTGCCCCAATGTGGACAGCGGTCAAGTGTGTTCATGCTTCCAGAAGGTAATTGTTTGCACCTTTTTGTAATTTAAAAAGGGCGATTTAAAAAACACGTATTCCGCAATAACTCACCAATTAGGTCAGCTATTTGAAAACAAAATCCTCTTCTTTATCCATAACGAACACTTACCACTTTCCTGTCGGCTTTTTTCAAAGATAACACCTTCTTTTACACATTTTCAGAAACTACAATGCGAAGATGAGGTATGCACATGTCCAATCGGTTACTATGGCAACAGATGCGAATATGTGATGAAACGTAAGTTGTTATATGCAAACATCACACTCTTTTACTGCAAACAAGTACAATATGTACGTTAACATCTTTCGCTCATGCGAGTCTTTTATTGAAAAAACAACTTAGTGGAGTTAGTGAGTGTTTATGGTGTTAAAAAAGTGTTGACATTTTATTTTTTTCATTTTATGTGCTTGGTTTTCGTTGTATTTTCTGGTTACTTGCCATCATTTTAATAGTTCGTCCGTGAATTGTTGATTTGTAGAGACACAGGTGCATGCCATCAACAGCTGCGATTTAAAAAAAATAAAACAAGGAAAGTTCCTTATATTTAACAATGGTAATGGCCGTCATGCCAATATTGCGAGTGCTCACGCTCGCACGTAATTAACTGGGTGCATATAAACATTTTATTCAAGCTTTGATGTTAATCCTGTTTTTCACATCAAGACGGTTGTCTGAGTGATACAAATGTGACGGAGTTGGGTTTGATGGGGTTATTGCTACTTCACTGTACGGCAGATGTTCACACTTTACTGAAGCCACCGAGAACAAACGCATACCGGACATCATAAAGGGAGTGGAGTGAGTGACGGAGTTGGGTTTGATGGGGTTATTGCTACTTCACTGTACGGCAGATGTTCACACTTTACTGAAGCCACTGAGAACAAACGGATATCGGACATCATAATCGGAGTGGAACTGGAATTCCAACCAAATACCTTCGGATCATATCCACAACAGCATAGTCTTTATTATTGCCGATAACCATTGAATGACTTTCCGAACAATCTTCAAATGAGTGACCCTGCGGGAGCTCCGTTTGATATATTCTACACATCGATACGATGTCAAATTGCTCCGTAAACTATTGCATAGCTTTCCGAACTCGTTCAGACGGAGTTTGCCTGATGCGTGAGTGCTTCTGTAATTAAAAATGGTTGCAAATTATCTGGCACTAGAATGGCCAAAGGCCGGTTAAGTCGGGTATTGTAATCACACGCGGTGGAAAAAGTTAGTTAAATTGTGAATTAACATATGTCTTTGTCCTCGGTGATTTTAAGAATGACATTATTACCCTCGTATGTATCCGTGTCGTAAATATCATATAATATGTATAATGCTCGCCTGAGGCACGTATGATACAATTAATATTTATATTATGATATTTACGATACGAAAATAGACGCGTTAAATAATTTCTACGTACTAAAGTTTGTTTATTTGTTTGTTTGTTTGTTTGTTGTTTAACACTGAAATCAGCAACATTCCTGCCATATGACGGCGGTATGTAAATAATCGAGTCTAGACAAAACAATCCAGTGTTTGACATTATGAGCATGGATCTTCGCAATTGGGATGCATGCATCAACCAAGTCAGCGAGTCTGACCACCTGATCCCGTTAGTCGCCTCTTACGTCAAGCACAGTTGCCTATTACGGCAAGCATGATCACAAAGCTCGTCACCAACAATGGATTACATCACTAAGAGTCGCGTGACGTCACTTGAGTGGATGAGTGAGTTTGGTTTAACGTCTTGATATGCGGTGGTGAAAAAGTCCGACTTCATGCAGGTCTTAGAAGTTTACCAATTTACGAAACAGAGGTCGAAAAGGGATTCGAATCCACGACCGAAAGTTTTTCGCTCATTGCGGGCGTTATTCTGGACAGCGCCGCCCGAACCCACTGTCATTTGTTTCGCTGGTTGAAAACAAATAGGGGTGTGTGTGAAGTAAAATTGGGATCGCCAAATCTAACGTCAGTAAAGTTATCCGTTATTCTTTTATCGCCCCAAACAAATCTTCCAGGTGTAACCATGTTTCCGTGCTTTTCCATGTTCGTAACTCAATATATCACCAGTTCAAGCGCACTTTCAATGACGCCAATGCACTGAGCCGCGCCCGTACACTCGGACGCCATGTAGGTTGAGTTAATAAATAAATGCAAATTAACCATGACGTTACCTGGCAACGTGATTCATAACGTCGTGAGGCAAAATGAGAGTATACATAAATTGCATTGATCCGCACTCTACCTGTTAACTTGCGGACAGTTTTATGATACTTCTCTCCGATTACAATTGATTATAATTATTTATTGAATAAAATATTGGGAGGTGGATAAATATATGTTTACTTAAGGAAAAACCGATCTGCAAACTTTTGTAAGAATCCGCTAGGCGGATTCATACAGTTTGCACATCGGTTTTTCGATTCATACCTCAATGAGCCGAAAAAATACGCAGTCAATGCTTATAATTAAATTCGACAACGAAAACATGTGTTATCTACAATAGTTTAACCGAAAACAGTTGTATATATCAAAGCAGACAAAAATAACGAGATTGTTAAACATTCCGGGTGTATGAATACAAACTGTGGCCTGACATGAATCAGATGATTGTTTAATTTATGCACATAACTTAGCACGCAGACAAAGTCTTTAGCCAATCAACGGAGACTATGATAAGAACAAAGTTCATGGGACCTGTCAATCAAGGCAAGAGACGAGAAGAACTGCAACAGTCAGACGGTAATGGGGCCTTTACACAGGATGGCGACCTTTGTGCCTCCCGTGTGCGACCAGGCCGCCTCCGTGGTCTTGTGGTAGAGCGTCCGCCCGGAGAGCGGAAGGTCCGGGGTTCGATCCCCGGCCGCGTCATACCAAAAGACGTTAAAAGATGGTACTTGTTGTTACCCTGTCTGGCGCTCGGCATTAAGGGGCTAAAACAAGGACTGGTCGGCTCGGAGTCAGTATACTGTGTCTGAGTGGGGTATTCATGTTAAACTGCGGCATGGTATCTCAGTGAGCTAGCACTATAAATCGGCATCAGTCCGGACTAGTACAAGCAGCCACACACACACATACACGTGCATGCACGTCGCTATATAAGTGCAATAATCTTGGACGCGACGTTAAACCCAATTTCACCTCACCTCACCGTGTGCGACCATGAAATTTGCCAGGTTGTCTTTGGAGGCTCAACGTAGGCAGAATGGTTGCCTAGGTCGTTCCAAGGTGGTACACGGGAGGTTCAGACATCACGATAGACGCCATGGTCGCCGTGAATTTTTGAACATGTTCAAACCAGTCGCACAAAGGTTGCCGAGGAGGTTGGTTGCTCAAAGGTGGCTCAAAAGAGGCAGAAAGGAAGGCACAAGCCTTGCCGTTGTTGCAGAAAGAAGGCACAGTGGTCGCCCAATGGTCGCCAGGTAGAAGATGGGGTAGCCTAGTGGTTAAAGCGTTCGCTCGTCACGCCGATGACCCGGGATCGATTCCCGACATGGGTACAATGTGTGAAGCCCATTTCTGGTGTCCCCCGCCGTGATATTGCTGGGATATAGCTAAAAGCGGCGTAAAACGATCCGTAGTAACTCACTCACTATAAAAAGAAACGCCCATAACGTCAAAAAAATGAAAACCGATTCTTTCGGTCATGGAAGTCGAGAGTGAACCTCGATTCGTCAAAAAACATGTCATCAGCCCAACGTCGATTAGTATTATTATGTGACGTTCCCTACACCACTGACGACTCTAGTTCAAAGGGCGTGCAGTAAGTGGTTGGATGACACGCGGACGTCGTGCACGCAAATACCATCAGTGAAGACGATTTCGCACCGCCAGGGGACGTACTCCTACACCAGTTGCCCGTTGCAACCGGTCCCTTATCTGAGTGGCAGTTTTCAACCGATTACTTAATGCAATCGGGGCGGTCGGGTAGCCTAGTGGTTAAAGCGTTCGCTCGTCACGCCGAAGACCCGGGTTCGATTCCCGACATGGGTACAATGTGTGAAGCCCATTTCTGGTGTCCCCCGCCGTGATATTGCTGAAATATTGCTAAAAGCGGCGTAAAACCATACACACTCACTTAATGCAATCGTTCTGACTAATCTGTCCTGGGCTGGAGCTGTTGCCCTTGGGCGTCCGGTGCGGCGCCTCTCATCGACGTTATGTGTTTGTTGGTATCGGACCCACAATCTGCGGATGACATATTGAGAAACATGCAGCGTTTGAGCAACAATATTCTGACGCGTGTCCACCTGCAACATACGTTCAGCACGTTACGAAGGTCGCATAATCAATGGCGTTGCTTCCTCAATGATTAAATGTCTTAAATAAAGTGTCTTTGGGCGTTTGGTTCTAAGAAAACATTATGCGTCTGCTCACAACCGAGTCTGAGAGACAGTGGTAAATCTTTCATACCACCCCTTCCGACGGAGGTCACGTGCTTCAGACTGTCACACTGTTGTGTTTGTGACCTGGATTTCTTTTCGGAAACGCTCGGATCACTTACATTGATTATCAGACATTGGTGTATGTTCCTATAGTTTCACCTCAAAATAAGATACCCTATCTTTTTGCATAGTATGTATGTCGTTATATACACTGTGATCCACATGCTTCATATCCAAGAGGGTGACCATATGATATGGTTCCAAGAACCATAGACCTCTTAGATATGAGTGAGTGAGAGAGTGAGTTGGGTCTAACGCCGCTTTTAACAGTATTCCAGTTATATCACGGCGTGTCAGCTTAATGTGGGAGGAAAGCCCGAAGTGATGCAGGTCTCAGACGTTTACCACTTCGGTGAAACCAGCGAGCACGGATTCGGTGCTGACAAACCTAGAAACATAATCGGGGCGAACCGGGATTCGAACCCACAATCATAGGTTTCTGGCGTGCCCAAGGGACGCAACTCTGCACAGCGAACTGCGGCGCCTTAGACGACTGGGCCACCCGTGCCCCCTCTTAGATATGAAGCGTGTGGATCACAGTGTATATAACGATCTTATGTTCTTCTCTTTCAGACTGCAGTGAAGACACTGGTCAGAATCTTGAGAGTCTAGCGAGGAAAATTTCCTTCATCCAACCCGATGGTGCAGAAGAACCTTTCGAAGTGTTCTGTGAGTTCCGGTACGGCGGCTTGACGACGATCCAGAACCGCGATCTGACGGCGTCCCCTGTCGACTTCAATCGGTCCATGGCGGAATACATACGTGGATTCGGTCACCCGAGATACAACTTCTGGCTTGGATTGAACAAACTCAGTCTCATCTCAGGGGTTGCATTAATGAAATGCAACATTTATCTGAAATACGCTTCCTCGTCGTGTGAGACGTTTTACGACAGTTGCAGCTTTGGAGGAGAGCGCGACGACTACAAGATAACACTCAGTGATTTCTCTACCTATGGTCCAAACTGCGGAGATTCTTTGATCGCCGTGAGCAACATCAACAACGCCCCCTTCTCCACCTACGACTCCGACTTCAGTAACCACAACTGTGCATCCAAGATGGCGGCTGGCTGGTGGTACGCGCCAACGAGCAACTGCACCCAGGGGAATCTGAACGCCCCGCTTGTGTCCCAAGCTGATGTCACAGCTGACTCCGGCGTCGTGAGAATGAAATGGGTGGAGACGTTGGGTGACCAACTCCTTCAGTACTCACTCATCAGACTCAAGAAAAAATAGAAGTGAAGAGAGCTCGGGCAGCGACAGACCTAATCGCTGCCACCAGTCAGAGCTCCCCGCTGTGATAGGCCACTCGCAACCGACCGACCGTTGTGTCGATGACTGTCTTGATGCCGAATACTCTTCCCCCAGCTGAATTATTTTCTTTGTTTGCCAATTCTATTTCATTTTAACTAACATGTAATTGGTATAGGGATAATGTAATACCCGTTCACATGCACAACCTTTACTAACGTAATTAATTTTGCACATGTGTAACTATACATACGTGTGTACATGTACATGTAAGTTTACTATGCGTTCACATGAAATTCAACTTTGGTGTGTAAATAAAGTTTGTAAATTGTGTAAGGCACACATATTCGTTTAGTCTGTTCACGACTTTCAACACAAAACAGGTGTTTTCCAATCAAAATTGAACGAGAAGAGACTTACTTCCCTGAAAATTTTCGCGTGAAGCATTATGTGTTTGATTTAATTTGTACACCAAGTTTTGACTCCTTGAAACCAAAAGAAAACACCGTCCGCTCAACTCTGTATATACGCATAAAAGTTGGCAACTGTTGATAATTTTGTTTGGTGTTGGCAAAAGAACAGATATTAATTACACTCTTCAAAAAAAGAAACGCATAGGTGTTTTGAGAATTCCAATAAGAGTTTTTTCCCAGCAATCGTCATAAAGACAATTCTTATGTTTGATTCCTTTTAATCGTATCATGTTTCTTGTGCATTGCGCGCAAACACATCTCAAAATGTTTTTTTGTAAACGTTTGTCAGCAAAAATGCACAGGATGTACGGAAATTGCTTTCAGAAAAAGTTTTCAGCACAATGTACGTGCAAAGTTTTTGAAACAAGAGTAGAGACACTGACTATAAAAGACCGTACAAACTTCATCAGTTCATTACGAATTTTCTGACGTGTATGGATATCGAAAAACTGCAGCTGACCGAAATATCGCCATTGGACATTTGGAAGCAGGGGAACCCCAGTCTGCCATTGCAAGACACCAAAGCACCATATCTCGACTATGGGATCGATATACCCGCACTAATTCGACTCAAGATCATCCCAGAAGTGGAAGACCAAGAGTGACCACCCCTGCTCAGGATCGGTACATCCGGTTGCATCACCTTCGGAATCGATTTGCTACAGCAACGGACACTGCAGGACAAGTGCCTGGTATGCGAAGAATTTCCGACCAAACCATCAGAAATCGTCTGAGGGAAGTGGGAATTCGAGGGAGACGACCAAAAGTTGGACCTGTCTTGCGACGTCTACACCGTCAACGACGTGTCCGGTGGTGCAACAGAGTATAGACATGGGATTTCAGGAACTGGCGACGCGTTTGGTTCAGCGATGAGTCACGTTTTCTTCGTCAACGACGGGATGGTAGACAACGTGTATACCGACGTCGACATGAACGTTTTGCGGCGAACTGCGTTCGACAGGTGGACCGATTTAGTGGAGGGCGTGTCATGGTGTGGGGAGCAATATCCTACACGGGTAGATCACAGTTAGTGGTTGTCTAGGGCAATCTTACAGCAAACCGATACATAGACCAAATTCTGCGTCCTCACTTACATCCAACTTTGGACCGCAAGAGAGAGCTGTTCAAACATGACAACGCTCGGCCCCACACAGCACGTGCAACAGTTAATTTCCTTGTTAATGAGAACACCAATGTCCTTCCAAATCGCCTGATGTCAACCCGATTGAACATTTGTGTGACGAACTTGATCGACGCGTCCGTCAACGTCACCAGCGTCCCTACACACTGGCACAACTCGCCAACGCCTTACAGGAGGAATGGCGAAGAATTCCCGAAGAAAATATCCGACGACTTGTGCAATCTGTGCCAAGGTGGTGTCGAGCAGTGACGGCTGCAAGAGGTGGTGTGACCAGGTACTGACCATGAGGCCCCCTTGTGGCTACACATGTGCAATGACTGAACTGAATTAATGCTGACAATGACAAAAATGCTTTTGTCGACCAATGTTTCTAATTTCATTTGATTGTGTTCACGCATATTCTGTGTAGATACTTTTACATCCGCTTAATAAATATCCTTATTTTTTAACTATGCGTTTCTTTTTTTGAAGAGTGTAGATCATCCTCTTACGTTAATATAAACGTTCACATTGCAACATATACACACAGTGAAAATTTACATTTGCACCTGCTCCAGACATGATGTAAATTTTCTCCTGGTGTAAATATACACACACGAGTCAACGCGTTCACGTGACAAGTGTACTCACGTATGCATTTCTAAGTTCGTTCGTTTGTTGTTTAATGCCGCACTCAGCAATATTCAAGCTATATGACGGCGGTCTGTAAATAATCGTGTCTGGACCAGACAATCCAGTGATCGATATCATGAACATCGATCCTCGCAATTGGGAACGATGACATGCTTCAACCAAGCCAGCGAGTCTGACCAGCCGATCCCGTTGTATTTCTACACACGTATGCACATATACACACGTATGTAAAGAGGTATATGTGAACGGGGTATATAAGAGGGAAATTGTGTGCTTTCCTGTTAGACCGCAATCTGAAAAAACAGTTTGAACAGAAAGACGTAAATTCACCCGGGAAGCAGTAAGTCAATAGCAAACCTTTTCAAAATTGTATCCCAAAGAAATACAAACAAATATAAATGTCACTACATTTTTTAGGGTTTGGAGGCACTCTAATTATTCATCCGTGTGAATTTTTTTATCCGGCAATTTGCCTTTTACCCGATTTACATGTACTGTACCTATTTATTTCTTGAATATGTCCTATATCTCCAGTGGTCTTAGCTCGGTCGGGATATTATTATTAAATGAGCGAGTGATTTCAACAGTTTCACTGGGACATTTAAATACCGTCTACGAATATTTTGAATATTTCTTTCTTGGAAAATGACGAAACACAATCGCAATCATTTTTTCAGTTTGCTTGTTCTTTAAATGAGAGGTCATCGTGGATCAATTTGGGTGTTAACATAACACCTGTGTCACATCAGGTCCGCTGGTTACCGGTCAGGCAGTGACTTCTGTTCAAGATTCTGTCTCTGACCTATTCAGCTTTAAATTGAAGAGAACCAAAACAAAGTTGTCTTAATTATCATTTCTCTTTACACTAGTTAATTGACTTTACACCTGCAAGTGCCACAGGTGTAAGGAAGTGGGAAGCCCAGGTGATACAAATGCGTTATTATTTTCCATCACACCCTCTACATATCCCGTGTCGTACCATGGATGGACCTCTGTATTATTATTATTATTATTATTTACAGATTAAAATACAATACAAAATGCAGCAAAGAGGGTTTGGGTGATCCTGGCACAGGATCAAGGCTGGTTAGACTCATCATCAGCTCAGGGCCCTTGCCCCCTCTACACGCAGCCCAGACAGCAAATGGGACTTCTCCCAGGAAGCTCTGCCTAGACAAACCCACCCAGAACTTTTCGGAGTATGTGACGAATCCCAACACTGCAGCCTTCTGCATTACCCACGGCCGTATTCCTGGTAGCAAACCCGGGCACTCTGATGGTAGAGCGCTGGTGTGGAGGCGCCGTCATGAACGTTACGCCCAGTGTTGTGTACAGGAAGTTTCGAGGCGGAAGTGTCATGGAGTGGGGTGCTTTCTGTGGCAATGCACGTTCCAGGCTTCTTGTCATCCGTGGCAACCTCAACGCTGCTGCTTACCGCGACCAGGTACTGGCACCAGAACTTCCGCCTTTTATGGCAGCGCATGGACCCGGTTTGATCTTCCAACACGACAATGCCAGACCCCACACAGCAATTTTGACAAGGAATTTCCTTCAGAATGCGGGAGTCAACGTCATGGACTGGCCGTCAAGGTCTCCCGACCTCAATACCATCGAACACGTCTGGGATGCTCTTGGCAGAAGTCTGCGCACTCTCCAGAACCAACCACAGAATTTGCAAGATCTTGGCACCATTTTGCAGCAACAATGGCGTCGTGTTCCCAATCATGTGTTCACAAGCATCACAAGGTCCATGCGGAGGCATTGTGTGGCACTTGTCAACGCACATGGTGGCCATACACGCTGCTGAACTTGTGTGCCATCAGATTCTCGTGCTTGGGACTTATGATTTAAACTGTTGATGTTATTACCGAATACCGTAGGTGCTTGGAACAAATAATGGTTACCACCGTTAATTAAAATCGTTCTTTGGACATTAATGATTAAAAATTACCTTCTCTGATACATTTGTCCGTTATCATATTTGGGATTACTTATAAAAATGTGAAGTTTTTAATTTGACTCAGTACAAATAAATTCTCAGTGGACGTCGCTGTATGGCCTTTTTCGCTGTCTTCCAAAACTGTTTACAATCACTGTGTTTAGCAGCGGTATTGATTTCTTCAGTTAGATGTAAGTCATAGTTAAGGGTTTCTTGTTGCAACATTTCTTAAAACCACCTTTGGCTGATGTGTACTGCTTTAAGTTTGAATCACACTTACAACTTCAGCTTATTCAAAAGTCTGTATTTCTCGGACTTCAGAAATTCGCACTCCTTCATCAAACCACGGAGGCTGATATCTTTGTCTACCTGAAGTTCCTACAGAACCAGCACAAGCTGTCTTTGCACAGTAGAGTATGATATCTCTGAACTTACATACTGCAGCATTTACATTTTGATCTACCAACAATATATATATTCTTCATCACTTTACAAATATCTTCGCTGAGATACTTAACATAAGATAAAGAACAGGATTTCAGCAACCCATGCTTGAGGTATCCCAATTGTGTAGATCGATGCTTATGATGTCAATCACTGCATTGTCTGTTGTTTAAAGCAGCATTCAGAAATATTCCAGCTATATGACAAATATACCCAGAATAGGAAATGGTCGGTCGCTAAGAAGACAATGATAAAGGTCACCCTGTATGCTTGGAACCGCCTCCGTGGTCTAGTGGTAGAGCGTCCGCCCGGAGAGCGGAAGGTCCGGAGTTCGATCCCCGGCCGCGTCATACCAAAAGACGTTGAAAGATGGTACTTGTTGTTACCCTGTCTTGCGCTAGGCATTAAGGGGCTAAAACAAGGACTGGTCGGCTCGGAGTCAGTATACTGTGTCTGAATGGGGTATTCATGTTCAACTGCGGCAAGATATCTCAGTGGGCTAGCACTATAAATCGGCATCAGTCCGGACTAGTACAAGCAGCCACACACACACAGGGGACACACACGCGCATGCACGTCGCTATGTAAGTGCAGTAATCTTGGACGCGACGTTAAACCCAATTTCACCTCACCTCATGTATGCTTGTATCAAGGTATGTACAAATAATCATTTGCGCTGCATATTGATCCTCCAGTCATATAAAATACTTCACTTTAATAAGCAATATGTCCCGCGATTTCATTGTTGTCTTTGCATCTGATCTGTGCCACGTGAAGGGCGTCTAGCAAGGTGAATCTAATGATTGAATCAGTAGACATTCAACATTCAACATCAGTTGAACAACTTCTTTATGTTGGATATGTTGAGATACATACACATGTACGTCTGAAATATACATTTCAGGTTGTTGTTCTCCCATATCAGGTAAACAGGTAAAGCACGTTCGTTAACTGAAATTGGAATTAACAATCAGAATCAGATATACATGCATACAGAACGAAATATATTTATAATACGCTTCATGAATATGGAATCCACCATGTTGTCAATGTAAACTCTGAATCGATGAAAAAACAATCGAGAGGAAACGTGAGTTTCGATTTTGCCATCGTGGCGTCTGATAAGAGCATTTCTGATCATAATTCAGAAAGCGGGCCGAGAGACTGGTTGATATTAGGAGAAGTCACAGGTCATACACAGTTAAACTGAAAAGATGAGATTCGTGGTAGGCTGGGTGATCGTTATGCAGGCTGTAAAGTTTGGAAGCGGAAACAAATTTTCAAATTTTCGTCAAACAGAAATCTTTGAAGAAGTCTTAGATGATGGTCTGAAGACTACGGTTGAGGGTGTTTCTTTGATGGCATGTGTCAAAGAATGTTATGAAGACGCAGACTGTCGGCGTGTGAAGTTCTGCGAGGAAAACGTCATGTCCGGTCATTGCAAGTTATACGAGGACGGAAAGGACTGCCCCCACGCGGCAAATGGACTCGAGTGCACGTGTTTTCAGAAGGTAAGGCTGGTTGTATGATGGTGTCGTCATGTCTTTCCAGCACGCCTAGAATCAAAGGAAGGATAAAGCAACAAAACGGATTTAATATCATATATGTAAAGCCTATGTAAATAAAAGCGCCAATACGTTCTATATTCATAAGACGATTGTGCCATTCCGACCATATAATGAGCATGTGTTTATGAATCACTGTCAAACAGGGATGATACCAGGTCATCGCAAAAAGGTGAGCGTATCCTGTCCCACCTTTGGCACCAGTCACAAACACATGCAAAGGCAAGTCAATTGCTCACCTGAATAAAACACGTGAACATACGATACATGTGGTACAGGTAAACCAGGTTGGAAAGTGTCCAAACTTTGGAAATTTGAGTTAAAAGCTATTCAATTGAAATAAAACGCGTTTATTAAATTTACTTAGCACATTAGATTGCTGTCGTCATAACTGGTGAAGCGGTTTTGCTACGATCGTAAAATCGTTAATTCCATTTGTTTAGATATAACACTGATAAGCTTTATATGTATTTATAGATGAGGCAATGTGAGGACGAAGTATGCACGTGTGCAATTGGTTACTATGGCAACAGTTGCGAAAAGGTCATTAAAGGTAAGTAATATTTTTGTTGACTCAACTGAAGAAGCATAGTTAAGGAAAAACACACAACAGATCACTCTTATCGAGCACATAACTTAAACTCTTGGGTTTAATTCAAAACAATACCGATATAAACACAGTAGTGTAATAACAGTACTCCTTAAGCACATTAGCAAAGAATGGACGACATACTTTTCACTATTCCCATTTATATGATGATATCAAGGATGCGATTGATAAAGTTTTAAATGATGTTTTCATTAAGATTTTAATCACAGATTGTGTATTGATAAATCATAACAACTTGAAAGACTTTAAAGGAGAGGAACATTCTGGAACACTTCAAAGAATGTGGAATTAAACATGAAATGTGCATGATGAAGAGAAGCTTTTACAAGGCATGAGTGAGTGAGTGAGTTGGGTTTAGCGCCGCTTTTAACAGTATTCCAGTTATATCACGGCGTGTCAGCTTAATGTGGGAGGAAAGCCCGAAGTGATGCAGGTCTCAGACGTTTACCGCTTCGGTGAAACCCACGAGCACGGGAATGGTGCTGACAAACCTGGAAACATAATTGGGGCGAACCGGGATTCGAACCCACAATCATAGGTTTCTGGCGTGCCCAAGGGACGCAACTCTGCACAGAGAATCGCGGCGCCTTAGACGACTGGGCCACCCGTGCCCCCTACAAGGCATGACTCATGTGAAGAGCTGCATCAAAAGTTTAATCTAATTTTTGTGGCAGGCATTTGTTTTTTTTAAAACAGCCTGAAGCATAATTAATTTTTCAAGAATTTTTGGGTATAATTTATTTTTTTCGATAAAATACCAGGCCACCTGAAAATGACTTCACATCTTAGGACCTTAAAAATTAGGAACAAGAGGAATTATCTCACTTTACATTAAAATACCAGCTTCTTATTTGTTAAGGAGCGAGCCTCTATTATTCCACGTAGCCAGCTGATGAAGCCCGCTGAGAAATCACTCGTAACACCTCACGCAACTTGCTTATCTCGCATAAGTATCGTTGAGCTGAAATGAACCGATGTTTATTCGAAGGAATTGAGTAAAAGGAATCAACGCGGTTTGTTTGCGTCGTCTGGTAACTGTCAAAAGGGCTGTATCAAAGCGTTTTACTAGGTGAAACTTCGGACATATTCCTTGTCTGTGTGAATGAATGTCGGTGAGATAAATTCGTTGTCAGCCGATCCCCCGGGACATGTGGTGTGATGCACCCTGTGTGTGAGCATGGTTTGGTTTGGTTTGTTTGTTGTTTAACGCCGCACACAGCAATAGTCCAGCTATATGACGGCGGACTCTAAAATTATCAAGTCTGTACCAGACAATCCAGTGATTGACACCATGAGCATCGATCCACGCAATTGGGATGCAATGACATGCATCAATCAAGTCAGCGAGCCTGACCACCTGATCCCGTTAGTTGCCTCTTACGACAAGCATAGTCGCCTTTTACGGCTAGCATGGGTTACTGAAGATCTATTCTACCCCGGATCTTTGAGGGTCCTGTGATCATGACGAGCTCGGCGTGCATAGGCTCACACACAGGGTACATCACATCACATACCCCTCGAGATCGGTTGACAACATATAAAGTTCTGTTTGTTCAATGGATTTTGCACTGCTTACTATCAAGTCCTCTGTAGCCGTGCATTATTGCGTCCCTTGGTTGTACCAGGATCATCTGGTCGTGTGTTGGTATTCCACAAGTAGCTCTATTATGATCCTCGATTTGCTGGCACCATACCAGTGCTGGGAGGTTTCACCAAAATGGTTCATGTCTTCGGACCTCCGTCATTTTGGGAGGCATGGGTGGCCCAGTCGTCTTAGGCGCCGCTATTCGCTGTGCAGAGTTGCGTCCCTTGGGTACGCCAGAAACCTATGATTGTGAGTTCGAATCCAAGTTCGCCCCGATTATGTTTCTAGGTTTGCCAGCAACATACCCGTGCTCGTGGGTTTCACCGACGTGGTAAACGTCTGAGACCTGCATCACTTCGGGCTTTCCTCCCACATTAAGCTGACACGCCGTGATATAACTGGAATACTGTTAAAAGCAGCGTTAAACCCAACTCACTCACTCACTCACTCACTCCGTCATTTTGGGCTTTCCTCAACATGAAGCTGACACGCCATGATATAATACGCATGAAAGCTTTTTTTTAAAAAAACAATAGTATAACAACGCTTGATTAATTACCAAAGGTATCCTTTTCAACTTGCGTTCCTGTTTTCTTTACAGAACTTTATCTACTGATCGAAAGATCGATCAGGTATCAAATGGAATTAGATAACTACCAAAACTAACCTACATTTACACACAAAAAACTTGCGTATGACAACATCGATCTAACAATAGCGTACCCATTGATGCATATAACAATGGCTGTCGATGCCCCATTGGAATTGTGAAAGTCCATGATCACAAAAACAGCCTATCAAACAAGATAGGATCTATTTTCAGAATAAACGCAATTAAGTAAACATACACTAACCACTGTTGAGGGGCCACAAAATTTTCGATCCCCAAAACTCTCTCAGACTCTTTCATGTCATATAGTGCCGACTCGATTTCAGCTAATAAAAAAAATTCAGGCTGGTTCCTTTGGCAATGACGTTTTGCCCACAATATACCACACAAAAGAATTAGCTGTTAAGTATGGAATACTGTAAGAAACATTCTCGCATTTACGCGATCTCGCACTTTTGGCATGATATATAGATCGTTTCCAAAGGTCCGAGATCGCGAGAATGTACAGTATTCCATAGTTACGACACCTGATTTTTTTATATTACTATTTAACCTGTCATGGTTATTGGGAATTGCAACACACAACCTTGCAATTGTGGGTGTTCTTTAACTTGTTTTGAGTAGTATATAATTTTGATAAATAATGACTTTCAGTCGAATGTTTCCAATCGCTCAAGCAGCTCACATTACTTGTGGAATGTAACTGGGCAGGTGAAGAAAGCAATGGCTTACTGTGAAAAGTCAGACAGGATACATTTGGCATGGCATCCAAACGTCACAACGTGCACGATGTGTTCGTGTGATCAATGTCTTTAAAACAGTTTAGAGCATCATTTGAAGATGTCTGTCATAATCATGTCGCACGAAATTACCCCAGTGGGGTCTTTTGGATGTGTCATTGTGCTCATGATGTGGGTATTGCATTGGGTGTCCAATTCTCCACCGTCTATCGCCTATACTTTGTTTGTTTGTTGTTTAACGCCGCACTCAGCAATATTCCAGCTATATGACGGCGCTCTGTAAATAATCGAGTCTGGACCAGACAATTCAGTGATCGACATCATAAGCATCGATCCACGAAATTAGGATCGATGTCATGCATCAACCAAGTCAGCGAGCCTGACCACCCGATCCCGTTAGTCGCCTTTTACGACAAGCATAGTCACCTTTTACGGCAAGCATGGGTTGCTGAAGACCTATTCTATCCCGGATCTTCAAGGGTCATCAATAGCATTAAGGACAATAAACGCAACACGACATGAACGCAGGGCCATCAGTGACACCGGAATCAGTTTCGACGTCGATACTTACGTCGTTGTAAACTTGCTTCATCGACGACATATGGATCTTGCCTATCACATTCTGTCGAAATATTGCGAGTTATAATAACATCACGACATGATGTAAAAATGTTTCGTCTCGTTTCTTTCGACATTCAATATTTAATGTTGGATACTGGTAGTTAGATAGTTAACAAGCACCGTGTGGCAAAAGAAATCCCCGGGCACCAAAATACTAATTGGCAAATCTGAAACAAAATCTATCTCAAAATATATGGCCAAATCAATATACTAAGATTTGTTTTTAATGTTGCCACCATCACACTCACGCGTGAAAGTGCAACAATAAAATCGTTAAACACATCATGACAAAGCCAAGACTAAGAAAGATTTTCTTCTATACTAATAATGACAGTTCGGCATTTTGCTTCTTTAAACAATTACTTTTATGGCATTCAGGTCAACATGACTTCGTTCATTCAGTCACGTAATGCATCTAACAGGATTTTTAAATATGGGCATTTCACTCGTTTAAACAATTACTTTTTATTGCATGCAGGTCAACATGACTTCATTCATTCAGTCACGTAATGCATCTAACAGGATTTTTAAATATGGGCATTTCACTCGTTTAAACAATTACTTTTTATCGCATGCAGGTCAACACGACTTCATTCATTCAGTCACGTGATGCATCTAACAGGATTTTTAAATATGGGCATTTCACTCGTTTAAACAATTACTTTCATGGCGCGCAGGTCAACATGACTTCATTCATTCAGTCACGTAATGCATCTAACATGATTTTTAAATATGGGCATTTCACTCGTTTCATTCAGTCAAGTTATGTGTCGGGATCGGATGGTCAGGCTCGTTAATCTGGTTGATGCATGTAGTCCTATCCGCATTGCGTAGATCGATGCTCATGATGTCAGTCACTGGAATGTCTGTCCAGACTCCATTATCTATAGAAAGCAGTCATATAGCTGGACTATTGCTGAGTGCGGCGTTAAACAACAAACAAGCAAAACACGTAATGTATCAATACTTCCGCTATAACAGTGTCGGGTAGACAAATCGTTTTGGTATATGGATTCCATGATAAGGAAGCCTTTTAGAGCCATTTCTTTTTTTCTTTAAATTTCAAGATACCAAGTTGAAATTTCAAAATACTAAGTTGAATTTCAAGATACTGAGTTGATATTTCAAGTTAGTATCTTCAACTTTCAAGATTATTACCTTGAAATTTCAACTTGTGAATCTTGAAATTTCAGCACAGCATCTTGAAAATTCAAGATCGATATCTTAAAATTTCAACTTACAAAAGAAAATAGCCCTAAAAGGCTCCCGTACCATTAATGCCAAGCATAATGTTAGTTGACAAGATTGCAGCCTGACAACGTATATGTGTGATACAGTTTGCTAGTTGACGTCAGTGTTAACGTTATACTGTATGTGACACAGATTATATTCTGCTGCGTCCCGCCAATATCCCCTCATGCTATAAACTCATGCTTGTCGTAACAGGCGACAATACTTGTCGTAGGAGGCGACTAACGGGATCGTGTGGTCAGGCTCGCTGACTTGGTTGATGCATGTCATCGATTCCAATTGCGTGGATCGATGCTCATGATATTAATCACTGGATTGTCTGGTCCAGACTCGATTATCTACAGACCGCTGTCATATAGCTGGAATATTGCTGAGTGCAGCGTTAAACAACAAACGAACCAACTGTAGTGGTCTCTTGCCCCCTTAGATAATGAATCATGAATACCACCGGTAATGTCTCATCACTGATCCTTCTTCCAGACTGCAGTGAAGGCCAGCATCACGGGCTTCTAGATCTAAAGAAAAAACTCTCATACATCCAACCTGACGGTGCCGAAGAACCTTTTGAAGTGCTCTGCGAATTTCGATATGGCGGCCTGACTACGATCCAGTCTCGCGACTTGGCAGCATCGTATGTCGACTTCAACAGATCCATGGAGGACTTCGTACATGGATTTGGCCGTCCAAGGTATAACTGCTGGCTTGGCCTCAAACGTATCAGTCTTTTATTCGCAATGGGAGAGATGAAATGTAACATCGTACTTGATGGACCATCCGGCTTTTGTCAGGTGTATTATGACCGTTGCCATGTCGGCGGTGAGGAAGACGGCTATAGAATAACCATCGGAGAATACTCGACTGCCGTCAGTCCAAGATGCGGGGACTCCTTGGTCGCCGTGGACAACATCAACAACGCTACATTCTCCACCTACAATTACGACAACGACAACAACTGCGCATCCAAGATGGCGGCTGGGTGGTGGTACGCGCCAACGAGCAACTGCACCAAGGGAAACCTGAACGCCCCGCTTGTAGCCACGCCCTTAGTTGGCTTGAGGCTGAAGTGGGTTTATGATAAGGGTAATGATATCATCGCTTCTTCTTTGTTCAGAATAACTGGTGTCTAACAAGTGATTGAAATGTTGAGCGGCGTGATTGAAGAAATAAGCCTCATTTTGTTTGTAATTATTCGTTATGAGAAATCTCCTTAATCGTGTCTAAGGAAAAGTGGGTGATGCAGCACTTTACGGAAGTCAGGGGCATGGGTGGCCCAGTCGTCTAAGGCGCCGCGATTCGCTGTGCAGAGTTGCGTCCCGTGGACACGCCAGAAACATGATTGTTGGTTCGAATTCCGGTTCGCCCCGATTATGTTTCTAGGTTTGTCAGCACCATACCCGTGCTCGTGGGTGTCACCGAAGTGATAAACGTCTGAGACCTGCATCACTTCGGGCTTCCCCCCCCCCCCCCCCCCCCCCCCCACATTAAGCTGATACGCCGCGATATAACTGGAATACTGTTAAAAGCAGCGTTAAACCCAACTCACTCACTCACTCACTCACTCACTTGGTGGCCTCGAATCCCAGGTTTATTCTGAGTGTCACCTGTGGATTCGCCAGTGTGTAAAATGTCAACGGCCTGTCAACCATTGTTTGTTGCTTAACACCTCACTCGACAAACCCGTGAAGATCCGGGTAGAGAATAGATCTTCAGCAACCCATGCCTACCGTAACAGGCGAATATGCTTGTCGTAAGAAATAACGGGATCGGGTGGTGAGGCTCGCTGACCTGGTTGATGCATGTCATCGTATCCCAATTGCGTTTATCGATGCTCATGATGTCAATCACTGGATTGTCAGGTCCAGACGCAATTATTTACAGACCGCCGTCATGCAGCTGGAATATTGCCGGCGTCAAAAAGACAAAAGATTAAAACAATGAAACTTCATGCATTTTCTGGTATGCCTGTTTGTGTGCGTTTGTAGAAATACCATACAATATCAGTGGATTAATCATAAGTTCGGATTCTTGTGATATTTCGAAATAATCGGATTCCAGACAAAGGATTTGATATAACGTTAATTCATCTCTAAATACTACTGAATATGCCGATTCCAGAATTGAAACACTATGTTAACAGCGTGCATGAGTGCATTGTTGAAATTGTGTTATTTCATGTGTGGGTGAATTTGGTTGCAAACTGCTTTGAACAGGGGTATTTGGCAGTGTATTTTATTGTTTAACAATGGTTGTAACTATGTTGCATTGTTTCTGTTGAGATTCGGTAGACGGTCATTGCATTGTGTTTGAACAGTGATTGGTGGTCAGGAATGTAGTATTATTTAATGGACTGATGAGGGCCCTGTGTAGAAGTTTCCAGTAGCTAGTTAGACGGTATACAATTGGACAAAAGCGTGTTTTAGGTATCTCTCACGTATTTCATTACATCGGGGCCAGCTTTCGTGTGAGAATCGCTCATCATCCCTGATTCCCTGCCCAGCGCTTCATGGAAGCTTGACCACTGTCGTCACTAGGTGAATATATATTATTATCACTGACTTTTGCTATCACCACCGTATTTTTATATTTGATACTGACCACGGCTATCACGTTATGTATTGCCATTGAATATTGTACCACCACTTTATTGTGAGGGGCGGTCGGGTAGCCTAGTGGTTAAAGCGTTCGCTCGTCACGCCGAAGGGTTCGATTCCCGACATGGGTACAATGTGTGAAGCCCATTTCTGGTGTTCCCCGCCGTGATATTTGTAATACATTTGTTATTCCCCTCTGAACGCTTGACGTGGGTTTCACCTGCATCACTTCGGGCTTTCCTCCCACATTAAGCTGACACGCCGCGATATAACTGGAATACTGTTGAAAGTGGCGTTAAACCCAACTCACTCACTCACTCTAAACGCTTTATGTGCGAGGAAACCATAAGGTGATGAAAGTCTAAACCGTTAACATGTGCCACTTCGGTTCAGGGGGCACGGGTGGCCTAGTCGTCTAAGGCGCCGCGATTCGCTGTGCAGGGTTGTCGCTCTTTGTCGTAAAGGCCACACTTAAACCCTGTGTCTGGTTGTATCGCGTTAACAGATGTGTCATCGTTCATACACTGCCCGGGCACGGGTGGCCCAGTGGTCTAAGGCGCCGCGATTCGCTGTGCAGGGTTGCGTTCCTTGGGTACGCCAAAAACATATGATTGTGGGTTCGAATCCCGGTTCGCCCCGATTATGTTTCTAGGTTTGTCAGCACCATACCCATGCTCGTGGGTTTCAGAGAAGTGGTAAACGTCTGAGACCTGCAATAACTTCGGGCTTTCCTCTCTCATTAATTATAAGCTGACACGCCGCGATATAACTGGAATACTGCTAAAAGCGGCGTTAATCCCAACTCACTCACACACTTCGGTCCAACCCATTAGCACAGTTACAGATAAGGCGCGGACGAACAAGAAGCATAAATACGGAGAACAGAAGGATCCCTTTCGCCCCACTGGTAATGTCCAATTTTAAGTTATATCGTACAAAATATAATGAGAAATGCTCAAATGGCTGACAAAGTCTTTTCAATTCTCACAGCTAGTTGTGGACTTGCTCAAATAGATAAGTATGGCTAAAATGAGTTGAAATGGTCGACGTTTCGAACTTCAAGAAACAGTCCATGTATCACCGTGTCTGTCACTCAAGACATCACCTTAGCAAATTAGCTTGGGCAAAGACTTGCTTTTGTTCAAATATTAGGGAAAAGCTTTAAAAAAACTCTAAAATTAGTTTTACCAATGATTTTTTTGTTATAAGCCCCAGACATAAATCTGTTGAAATTAGTTCTCAGTCGTATGAGCACATCTGATAACTGTCTTAATGATTTGTAAACGTGTTTCTCACTTCCTGAATTATGCATAGCCCAAATGCCAAAAGGCCTCTTATCTCCCCTGATGATCTTGTCTTTTGGATTCGAACCTCCGATCACAGGATCCTGGCAACTCAGTAAAGTGAAATGCGACGCTTTAGGCAACTTGGCCATCCCTGCTCCGCTGTTGTTTTGGGGAGGAGGGGAAATAGGGTTTAATGTCTCGTCCAAGATTATTGCACTTATACAGCGACGTACATGCACGTGTGTGTGTGTGTGTGGCTGCTTGTACTAGTCCGGACTAATGCCGATTTTATAATTTTAGCCCACTGAGATACCATGTCGCAGTTTAACATGAATACCCCACCCAGACACATCATATTGACTCCGAGCCGACCAGTCCTTGTTTTATCCCATTAATGCCGAGCGCCAGACAGGGTAACAACAAAGTACAATCTTTACGTCTTTTGGTATGATGCGGCCGGGGATCGAGCCCCGAACCTTCCGCCCTCCGGTCGGACGCTCTACCACTAGAGCACGGAGGCGGTCCTATTGCTGGTTTGGCAGTGTTGTGTATATGTGTATTTTCTGTAGTTTATATGTATTGTAATGAAATGTTGTTTTAATCTCTCACTGTGTTGCATTGAACTGAATAAACCTGTATAGCTGCTGTGTTCTTCATTTGTTCAACTTCTACCAGTTGTGGCGTTGGGTTGGTAGCTTGGGTCGGTCCTTTGTTTAATTCAGCTTTCGCCTGATTGGCCTTGTTTAAAATACTAACACCCAGCATTTGGTTTGGTTTGTTGTTGTTTTACGCCGCACTCAGCAATACTCCTGCTATATGTCTGTTTTGTTTTGTTGTTTAACGCCGCACTCAGCAATATTCCAGCTATATGTTTGGTTTGGTTTGTTGTTTAACGCCGTAATCAGCAATATTCCAGCTATTTGACGGCGATCTGTAAATAATCGAGTCTGGACCAGACAATCCAGTAATTGATATCATGAGCATCGATCCACGCAATTGGGATCGAAGACATGCATCAACCAAGTCAGCGAGCCTGACCACCCGATCCCGTTAGTCGCCTTTTACGACAAGCATAGTCGCCTTTTACGGCAAGAACGGGTTGCTGAAGACCTATTCTACCTATTCATTTAACCTGCGCACCGGCCACAAAAGCTTGACAATGTTGACAACCTAGAACAGTCATTGGCTTTGGATATTTTCATCTATGAGATTGCCCTTGTAGATACAGACATCATAGTCGGGTCAGCTTGTATTTGGGCAACTCATTTCGCGCCTAGTTTCACCCACAGAGGTGTTGGTTCTGACGATCGTCAATTAATCCTCCTTATAATTCATTGACCCGTGTTATTAATGCATTCCCTTGTTACACTTGTAAAACTCAAAGGCCTATGATTGTAGGGATCCAACTGGTATTTGGTTATTTGCTTTATGTCTATCTGTTTATTGCTTTTATGAGATTATAAAGTAATTAACCTCGAAAGACTTTGACTGATTTATTAACAGTAATCTTAATGTTGTTATCTCAGAACTATGGTCTTATAGCGGCACTCCGCTTATCTCGAACAACGGATAACTTCATTAGATGGTCCTCCATGACGTCGATGTTTCACTGCAATCATGATTCAATATTGTTTTGTGAATGAAATGTTTTATTTGAATCCAATAATAATCAGCCTTTTAGAATCAATCTGACGTGTATTTGTATCAGTTCAGTTTGAACAGGCTAAGGTACGCGACCCTGACGGCAACTGGCGTCCCACTAGACGGGATAAATCAGCCTTTTCAGACTTGCGACTATTTAGTTCAACTTCGCAGTGTTGTTATAATTGATGAACTATTTTGAAATATTGAACAGAACGCTTGATAAGGCGTTTATTCAATTACTGTTAACGAGACGGGCGATCCAAATTACACATGAACAAAAGCTTCACCTACATGTAGCTTGACAACGGTATAAGGATCTATACCGAAACGTCGCCTTCAAAGTAATTAAAGAAGTTGTTATCCATACGGTTCATTCGCAGGACGACGACCCCCTGTGTCGTATGAAAACAAACTAGCAAAAAGTGAGGTCGTCGTCCTGCGAATATTTTAATCCGCCAATCTAGTTAAACAATGGGTATCGAGTGGTATCCCCTCCTAAAACAACACCACACATCAAAATCGTACCGGCGGATCGTCGTCCTGCGAATTGAAAAATTCGAGGGGTCGTCGTCCTGCGAATACCCCATCCATACATTGTGTCTAATCCGTCAACTTCTCAGTAACGCCTATTAAACAATTAATAGCTTCACTGATGTTTTATTAGGGGATCACCGGTTATAGTATTTTCAAATTAATCTTAACCCACTAATGACGCATTACAAGTCAACATATCCGACGGACGCAACCAGTGTGAAACATTTTCATCAATATCGGTGAAGAGAACGTAAAATCTAAAAACATGCCCCAGTCTTTTACATTTACAGGGTAAGATTTTTCTTCATTCTTGATATCACATT